GGGAACTTTTTGCGTCAGACTGGCTCGATGTCAGCTGTAATTCATCCTTAGAGAACAGAGATGAAAGTGGTCTTTCCTGAAAATTCCGGGGAACATGTATATATGTGTATATGTACACACACACACACACACACACACACGTGTGTATATATATATATATATTTCAAAAATACCTGAATTCTACTCAGTCGAGCACTGAACATTCCCAATGTATATAAAAATAATGACACAAAATCGCAAAATAGTCATACAGATACTGACCCCTCGAAAGTGAAGTGCAAATTTCAAGGTAATACAAGAAACGCATCTCGTAGATGGTTTATTTGTTTTTAATAATCATGCGGCTGTAATCGATGTGAGTAAAATCCGTACACCACGTCGCTATACCGTAGTTAATGTTTTTACGCGTTCTTACAGGAAAGGCAGTGAATCATATTGTAATCTTAGTTTCGGTTTTGGCACGATGTTAAGAGTAAAGTCGGTTAAACGGGAGACGTGCAAGCGTTTGGGTGTTAATGTACATAAATGCCGGCTTGTCGCCCTGTAAAAAAAAAGGTGCCAATGTGTATTATAAGGAACTTACCCGTTACGCAGGCTTCCTTGTTAATGGGATCTTCACCGCGGAGAGAAGAAAAAAAAAGGTGAACCGACGTTAATATCCGACCAGGTCAACCAAGTATCGCCCGTATCTTCCCCACGACAACTTCCATTCTGTGGGGAAAACTGCTACAAGCCGATTTCATTTCGCCGACGTCAGCTGCAAAAAAACAAACTCCGCCGCCGGGGCGGAGCTCCCAAACTTGGTAAATAGGCTCTCTTAAAGACGCACGGTTTTTTGTCGGTTAACTCCTTTGGAACCGGGCGGGGTTGCAGCACTTTCCTTTAAGAGTCCTTTGCCGTAACCAATCGTGAAGTTTGTTGTGATCCCGCCTCTGCCATCGCGTATTCAGACACGTGGACGGGAAATTCCCACTCTCACGCGAGGTCGAGCACGCCTCTACAACTCGACGCTACTATCCCCATCTGGTTCCAAACATGCGCAGCGATTGTGTATTGTTATGATTAAAACTGATTTATCTTAACATTTATACACCTTCTTTCAACCTGTTGCTGCAATGTTACACGACAATGACGGGTAGTTGAATGACACGAGGTAAAAATTACAAAGGTTTTGGTTTATAAAAAAGAAAAAAATAGTACTTGAATCCAAGCATTTTACCCTTTTTTTGTCACTTTACTACTCCAGAAATATAAAATAAAATACTACTGCATGTGGGGAGGTTGCTTGTTCTGCCTTTGCTAATGTGTGGGCTTTTTTTTTCCTGGGTACTCTGACCCTGCCATACTGTGTTTCAGGTAATGTTTGTTTCCCTTTTGGTTGTACTGTATATAGTTTTTCATGTCGTTCTTCATGTGGCTGTTTGTGTTTGTTGCTGGCGTGTGTCCGCGGTTCGTCGCACCCGCCATTGTTGTGCGTTGTGCAGCCATTTTGCTGCGTGTGAATTTTCATCACTGGAGAAAAACTCAATATTTTGAAGCAGTTGTGGTGCCTCTTCTACGCTATGAGACCTTAGAATATGGTTGACCAGCAGCGTTTCTCAGTGCACCGCTGGTTGACAGGGAAACCCAACGATGCCATCCCAGCACAATGTGTGTAAGAAAAATTCATTTATTCATCCATTTTCCGATCCGCGTATCCTCACAAGGGTTACGGGGGGTGCTGGAGCCTATCCCATCCGTCTTTGGGTAGTAGGCGGGGGACAACCTGAACCGGTTGCCAGCCAATCACAGGGCACACAGAAACAAACAACCATTCGCGCTCACGAACAACCATTTGCGCTCACACTCACACCTGGGGACAATTTTGAGTGTTCAATCAGCCTGCCATGCATGTTTTTTGGAATGTGGGAGGAAACCGGAGGACCCCGAGAATACCCACGCAAGCACGGGGAGAGCATGCAAACTCCACACAGGGAGGCCAGAGCTGGAATTGAACCCGGTACCTTTGCACTGTGAAGTCGACGTGCTAACCACTCGACGACCGGGCTAGAGTGAATGATGGATGGTTTCATCGATAGCTTCAGACAACTGAAGATGCATAGCTCCAAAAAGAAATGTCTGTTGTTTTTTTTTCTTTTGTTTTGGTTTTTTGTGTGCACTTAATATTCCATTGACAATAAACAATTTACCTGCCATTAAATTAAATTAGCAATCGGTTCAGGGTGCACCCCGCCTGCTGCCCAAAGGCAGCTATAGGTTCCAGCACACCCTCGACCATCCTGACGATAAACTAATTAATACTCCGTCATTTAAGGGGTGTTCATGGGGCACATATGTGTGTGAAAGCAATTAACATGCATCATGTAAACGTAGCTACACCATTGACTCAATAATATGTGTCCCTCATTCTGTCATTTCAAACCCAATTGAAAGGTGCTTGGGCACCCTAACACCTTGTTCTGTTGCATATTGAAGCAGAGTTTTGTACTGTATATTAGAATAGTGGAAGATAAAATCACAAGATGAGGGGCACAAACGGGATTCATGTTCCATTGTTGGAAGAGGAGTGATCCCTTCCAGATGGAAAAGGAATTTGCACCATCTTGCAAATATGAACTTGACTGGGGCTTTGCACGTGAGTGTGGTGGCATTCTTTCTTGACCGAGGTAAACACTTAACAGCAGATGACATCATCAAATATCCCCCGATTCTTTAAAAGAGCTTGGTGAATAAAAGTTACGAAAACAAACAATTTTTCAATATTTTGATTGACAGAATCGCATGGACCAAAAAAGGACACATCCTCTGCATTTAACTTGTAGGTAGTATTCATCATCAACATCATCACCTTTTGGAGGGAGTACGATGGTAAAAACATGCAATCCTTTAGTAGATTAGCAGCAAAGTAGTTTCCAATATGCACTGCTTTAGTTCCACTGAATTTACTGAGAGCAGTGTCGGGACTTCAAAGGCTATGTATGAGCTTGTGTGTGTGTGTGTGTGTGTGTGTGTGTGTGTGTGTGTGTGTGTGTGTGTGTGTTTTACATATATATATATATATATGGGCACAGTGTTGTGTGTACGTTATCTGTTACAGCTCTTCACGGCCATTATTGTGTTATGTGGATTAGATGCCTGCTGGGTATTCCGTTTGCAGTCAGATCAACAGACTGACAGACACGAATACAAATTGAGATGCTGTGAAGCCCCCAGAGAAGGTGTTATGTTATCGCTTTCCTACAGAAGGAAAAATATAACAGTGTTGCCCTCTAGTGAGCACATGGACTTGATATTTTCAGTATCCCTCTCGAGCCTTTACACAATGTCACAACATAGAGCACAAGCAGCACATGTACTGGCGTGTGAAATAAATTTATAGCATTAGTCACTTGAGCTTATTTTTTTTAGATTATTAAGGGGACACATTAATGAAGCTTGTATGTTATGTCAAGACAGTGCCTTACATCTGGTGTAGAAGGGGTGTTCACACGGCACACATTTGCATCGGTGCTGCACCGACATATTTTGTTGCGATACATCTTACACCGGTGTAAATTTTGTGGAGCGTTCATACGTATAAAGCTGGTTACTAAATAGAAGCGTGTTAACCCCGGTGAAGCCCCACTTGCGTTCACACGGCAGTTTCTGCGGCCGTGCAATGCGATCGTAATAATACGGAAATAAAACGTGCATGAGTAAAGTGTACTTCCTTTTCCCTGCTTTGTTTGTGACATATCGAAAAACCATGGTTTATACTTCTCCAGACAAATCAACGCTGTGGTCTATCAGACACCGTAAAAGGATGAGAGAGAGAAAGGAAAGACAAACATAATGCGCCAAACAGAAAATCAAGAGAGGAAATCACAAAATAAATTCAATGGGGGGGTTGTGAACACACAACAGAGGAACAAACTACACAAACAACTCCGAGACAGAGCACGAAAGCAACGCATTCCACCCGTATGTAATCAACTCTTCTCATGATAGCGAGTCAACCCCTGTAGCGTTCACACGTACCATTTTATATCGGTGCTGCCTCGCAAACTAGCATTTTACTCCGGAGTAAATTTTTAAACCACCTCCTGAGCAGGGTTAAATTTGCTCCGGTTTAAGCTGTTTTCAGGGGCTACGCGGGTATAACTTTGTACGCGTGAACGCTCTACGGGGGGCAGCCCCGGTGCTACACACCGGAGTAAAGTTGCCGTGTGAACACCCCGATAGCATACCTGTCAACCTTTCGGAGCGGCAACCCATATAAACTACCAAAAAAAATCCTTATAAAGAGCAAAACATCCTTATAACATACCAAAGCATTTTATATGTCAAAATAACGGCAGAAAAAAACCCACGAAATTTTTAATGATATTTATTGTAGATCTCCATAGTACAATGGCAGGGGAATGTCTAATCATCATTCTACTTAGTGGCATTACTGGGGTCAGAGTTGTATTCCTGCGTTACTTTTTTCGGGCATTCCTTTGGTGCAAGTTAGACTTCAAATGTTCTTTTACATCATGAATTCCAGATGCAAGGACTTTTACTTCACGTTTGCAAATTATGCAATGAGCATATTCTTCAGTCTTACCAGGCACTATTGCGCCATTAAACTGCGCTATCCATTCTTGAAGAAACCTTCCACTGTGCTTCGTTTTACTTCTCTTTCTTGTTTGTTCCATTGCGCAATATGAATGATAAATGTGTTTCCTTGTAGATTAGAACTTGCTTGTACACTACCGAAGTATGGAATGAATACTCTGATGTTTTCAACTAGGAACCAAGTGATTATCTGGAACGTTACCGGAAATGAAAGCATTCGAGTAGACGAGCACCATTCTGGGGAAAAGCAAACGGAACTACCTGTTAGGGAAAAAAAAAAAAAACGGAAATTTTCAGAATCCGTATGATTTGTGCGATATGGCCATATATGTAAGATTCACCACAAAATCCGTATAAAATATGGCGAACCGTATGAGTTGACAGGTATGCTATAGTCATAGTAATAGTTCACTGCTTTCGGTTATATGTAGTGCCTTCCTATTAAAAGCTCTAACATGATAATACCAACTGACGACAGAAACAAACAAATGAAGAAATAGGAGCAGAACTTCATCTACCGGTCATGGAGTTTTCTGAGGTACTGAGCTGTTCCCTCAACTTGTCAACGTCATCTGGGTGGACTTGTTCATAAAGAGTGCTGCCAAACCACTCAGACTGCGGGTGGTTCAAGACTGGTGTCACAGAATCAGAGACGTAGATCACGCGTCCCGTCTCTGCCGCCACCACAAATAGAAAGCCATCCGCTGCCTCCAAGATCAGATGCTTCAGTTCCTGTAGTTCAAAACAAAATTTACATATATAAATGTACAAATATAATCCAACACAGTGACAAACAATAATAATTTTCGAACAACTCTAATTTGTAATCATTTTTAATGGAGGATTTAATCAAGTAATGAATCATAAAACACAATACAAAGGTTTCAGATAAAGTATTGGAGTGAGGATTGTAACCTCATGTATACATTTTTAAGTTTTAGCGAGAGATCACGAAAAATTAATGCGGATATAATTTGTCTTGTAGGTCAATGTTTTAGAAATGTATGACATGTTGAAAAAGTCACTCCCGGAAATACCTGTTCAGTCAGGAACGAGGGCTTATAAGCCCCGTCAGTGGATGTGTTCCCAGTGCCCCGCATTGATTTCATATGAGAAACTGCCATGCGCAGAATGGTCAATTTGTCAGGTTTACGGGCCAGAGCGCTGCAGGTAGGGACCATGTCTGACAGCTCGGTGATGTACTGCGTCATTTTATTGCGTCTGCGTCGCTCAATTTCACTGTGGTTCTCTCTAAAATACAGAAAAGGCAGTTAGAAAACTTGAATAGGTTTCAACTAAAATACAATTTCAAATTGAGTAAAAAGACAGCACACAACGGATGAAACGTTCTCTCTGTTGAACATATGTTATCCGGGAAAACCCGGAGGACTTTCATCTCTGTCTCTGTTGAACATATGTTCAACGCATGTTCCATAATGAATAATGACAGTGAAACCAATTTTGACGATTTCTATTGTACAAGACGTATAAGGATTTTCCTGTGACGGGTAACAATCATACATTCTTACACCAGAAAAAGTCAGTCAGAAGGCAGCGGTTGTTTTTAAAGGATGTCCAAGAAATTGTGAGGAATTACAAAATGCTGCTTCATGCCACTAGAAATTAAAAACAATCAATTCCCAGAGGGAAAATCTGCATCCATAAATCCAGCCATCTATTTTCTGTACCGCTTACACTCACCAAGGTTCCAGGTGAACTGGAGCCCAGCCAGGTCTGAACTTGGGTGAGAGGCGGAGCCGAAACTAGTCTCCAGCCAATAACATAGCAATCCATAAATCATCCCCCCTCCTCCAAATGTGACACAAAGTCAAAAGATGTTGTAATGTCTAGAGCAGGGGTGTCCAAACTCGGTCCTCAAGGGCCGCTGTCCTGCCAGGTTTGCAGCTCTCCCAGGAGCAACACACCTGATTCAGAGGTGGCTGATGAGCTGATCATCTAAATCAGGTGTGTTGCAGCTGGGAGAGCTGGAAAACAGGCAAGACAGTGGCCCTCCAGGGAGATGAACATGCCTGGTCTTGAGGCTAAAAAAAAATAATAATATTGAGAGTACGTGAACTTAAAATCCAAGGTGTTACAACATGAAAAAAACTAGGGATGCTTGATAACTATCGGACTGATATTGGGAGGGGTGTCACATTAATCTGTCCAATATCAACAAAACTGGATAGATAGCAAGAGCAAATACACCAGCATTGGTCTTATTACTGTCACTTTAGGACCGGGGTGCCCATTACGTCGATCGCGAACGACCAGTAGATCAAGGACTGGTCCCAAGTGCGTCGCTTGCCTCAGCGTCAGGCTATTGCTCATCATGGCATGCGTGTGTACGTAGGTGCGTGCGTGCGTGCGTATGCACGCGTGCGCGGTAACGGGTCGATCCCGGGAGATTGGTTGATCAAAAAGTAGATCTTCGATCAAAAAAGTGTGGGCACCCCTGCTTTAAGAGCACCAAATCTCTGCAGCATGATTTAACACGGAAATTTAACACAGACATCACACACCAGTGTGTTATGTATTTTTTTATTACTTTATACTCCAAGCTGATGCTACTTTGTAGACACGTGTTTACCAGATTTCGACAATGTCATCGCAACACATTTTCGTTATCTGATGGTCAACAACGCGCAGAACTCCAGTTTTTACCACAGACATAAAGACGTCTGACATTAGTCCAGTGACTATGCTGAGCTTAACGGCGCAATGGCTGGACGAGGACTACAAGACGACACTGCATGCACAAAAGTTGTCGGGATTGGAGTTAAAGACTCTTCCTCCAGGCTGAAGTGTTCTACCTACAGTGACAGACACAATGACATGAAAAAAAAGTCCCAGTTCAAGGCAAACGAGGAATGTGATGGCCAGGCTATGCTAGCTAATTTACGAACATCTGCAACAACACTGCTGGAGTAAATTACTAATTTAAACAAAGATAAGATGAAAAGAATTTGAAACATTTCAAATTCTAACTGGCACCACTCAAAAATTAGTTTCCATTTAATATAAAAAAAAAAATACCTTTGATTCTTAAGTCCAGTAAATTTAAGACACTCTTACACGCAAGTAATAGTCTAAAAGATGACTTTGACCGAGGTAATTTTCTGTTAATACACTTGTACTTTTACTCAAGTGTATATTTCAGGTAATCTAGATAAGACTACATCTAGGACTGAGCTGTCGATGGTGACAGTCGATATTTTTTCCCTTTAAAATCAATCACCAGATTTGACTGTTTCCAATACTGCATATATAATGCAGAGATAAAACACACACCCTAACTGAGATCTGTCCTGTTGTTTGTGAATGTGAATATACTTTGAGCAATGAATAATAGGCCCTGCGACTACTTCTGGTTCATGACACGCCTACACCCCAATGTAACCAAGAGCCCTTTATACTCTTAAAATGCATCAGTTTCAAGAACAGTTATTGCCAATAAACTGGCAGAATGAAATTTCAGCACAATACAGTTAAATCGAGTTTCACGCTGTCCATAAGGTGACAGTGCGCCATCATCAGCAGAAAGAATTCTGTTATGGGTGCTCTAATTTGAGGTACCTGTGACCACTGTTCCCTCTAAGCATGGTTTCTGAGCAAATGCGCACTGCCCCCTGCGTGTCTGCGCACAAACTATCTGAGCTGCGCACAAGGTAAAAATCCAACCAGTAGTGAAAATAAAATAAATGCATAAATTATTCTGTATTATGCAACATGTGATTGGCTGTTCCAGGTTGTTATTTGACGCAATTCGCTCACGCATTTACGTCATGACGTTGTTCACTGTAGAAAGGTCTCCTCTGCAAAACGTGTTGCGAAGCTAAAGTAGCAAGCGAAAAAAGTGTGGAGCGAATGGAAACTGGACTACCTCAAGCGTCACATTCAGCGCAAAAGTTATTTGAATGCAGTAAAAGTTGTACAACGATGCAAGATGGGAATGGGGATCGGTACGTTATTGGCAGAGAGCGCCAAAGACCGAAAGAAGAGTAACAAGCTGTCAAATCGTAAACAAATCCAACCCGGAGCAAGTCAAAAATCCTCATCGACAATGTTGTACAAGCCATCAAAATGAATGCATCAATGCTGTCGGTCCAACAAATTCACGACCCCATGGCAAAGTATGTGAGTATACCAGACAGTTGGCGAAGTGAAAACTATGCTTTTGAATTTGTGGATTCAATCAATGCAATACTGTAGTACCGAAAGAGACGATGTGCAGTGTTAAAGATGCACCTTGGCACACCCTTATAGTAGATAAGAGCACAGACATAACGGTGCACAAAATACTCGTCTTGTACATTAAATACAGAGAGAAAAATAGTTTCAATCATAAAACTGTGTTTGGTGGAATAGTCCAGCTGACAACATGCGCTGCTCAGGATATCGTGCAGGCAATAACTCAGTTTTACTCCAAGCTTGAAGTGGACATACAGAGAATGGTTATGCTAACCTCCGATGGTGCCTCAGTAAGGACACTGTCACGTTGCAGTTCATGGCAGTCCAAGTTTTGCCATAATTTATACAAAACATTGTTAAAACAGCTATGTTAATATGCTACACTTTTGGTTACATAACTTTTGAGTTTTTCACTGAAAGTGGACAAACACACTTAATAAAGAAGTCATTTGATAGAAACTATTGCCTTAATTTTATTGTTTTAATGAAAACATGTAACTTGAATGTATATGATGCATATGATACTGCGTGACCACAATTTGCATGTCGCATGTTGCTCACAGTGGTCCATGGGACCGCTCAGGGTGTTTGTGTGTTTGCCCAGACACAAAAACAATTAGAGGGAACATTGTCTGTGACGATATATGAAATAAAAGGCTCAAAATTATGACTTGATTTATAACCTAAAACAGGGGAGTTCAATTGTTTCACTTTAAAATTGGGATGTTAACATAAATGTTTTGTTTAGTCCGCAACGACCGATTAGTTTGCATGTCAAGCATGGTGTCCAGTTTTTCTGAAAGCACCCACCCAATAAATTAGATGGTTACATCTTTTCAAGCAAGTTGCACGCACCATTGAGAGGTATTTTTCGCCATATAAATGGTCACTTGTTCCAGTTTATCAATTGAATATCTTTGTATGAAGTAGAGATGGGTGATATAGCGTTATCACACCTAACTAGAACATTCAAGATACCAATATAAAAAAATTAAGACGTGTGGACCTTCCATGCTCAGGCTGCATGTAGAGCTCAGGCCAGCCAACCACATACAATACCTCCTTTCAAGATTGCTGTTGATTGAAAGCTAAAGCCAGCCAATGACAATCACTTTACGGTGGGAGGGAGAGAGAGAGAAAGGGATGCATAGAAATGCAGGTGCGCAGTAGACAAGAAATTTATTTTCATATCATGAGCCAGCGAGTACAGCTGTGCGCCGTTAAGCCAGAGAAATTCTGTATATAGTATATACTCAACTCAACTGTATTTATAATCGACCCGTTAGCACACACGCGCGCATATGCGCATATAAAAATACGTGATTGCCCATGGGTTGACAGACATATAGTTTCACCCGTTGGTTGTTTTCCGTTTTTTTCACAGCCTCGTGTTTAATACGAGCTGATAGTTCAAAACAAATAACAATAAGACAAACAACTACTCTGAGAACCTACAGAAAGTTTCATTTTAAGGGTTTAGCATTGAAGCTACAGATTTCAAATACAATAATAAATAATGTTTTTACTAAGTGTACCATTTACCACAACTGAAATCGTAATTTGTTGTTGTTATATTTCACTTCAAGCCAGAGCAGGTTTGAACTTGAGTATCCACTTTATTTCCAGATGGCTAGGCCTACCTGGCATATCTCTCCTTATCCCCACCAGGTATCTGATCATCGTCATACCTACAAGGAGCACACAAAAAAATAAAAATAGCATTCAATCAATTGGAAATACATATGAATGACAAAACATATTTATACAAACATCAAAATCCTGACAAATCATCTCTGACATATTTTAGTGTATGAGAGAAGACAAAAGCAGATGAAAACATCATGGAGCAAGGCAAAGTTTACATGTTTAAAAAAAAAATCTCAAGTGGAATGAACAGTATATTTTTCTACTAAATAGGAGTATTTGTCTAAGAACACAATGCCGTTGTATGTTTCTCACAGCACTATTTTTCCAAAGTGTACCTTTCTTGTGCACTCCACTCAAATCATTTTGCCACATCTGCATCACGACCCTCCAACAACGTTCGGATTAAGGCAGCAATTACTGCGGTTTTGAAAACTCGACTCAAATTTGATTTATCTGACTAAACCCCCAAATTGCTTAAACTTGAAGAATGAAATGCTATTCCAAGAACTATATACCTGCCATCGTGGTTGGTCATGCTGACATTCTGGATTACATTTGTAAATTGAAAATAAGTAAGGGCTAATTTAGAAGTGCACATACAGGGAAATGTCAAAATACCTGCAGCAATGACATTTCAAGTGGACATCCAAATAAACTGATCTCTGAGCAAAAAGCGACTTCAAGCTTGTGTGTCACCATGTTATGGATAAATGTTCCTTACCACAACACAACACAAACACTGTGTACAGGTCACCTCCTCTTCCCTTTCTATTTATCTGCAATTATGTGTCACTGGCATACTTGCACCTGCTCTAATATTGGGAGAGATTTGTCCCAAAATTATTCACACAAATATATTTGGGATATTCATGTATTTTGGAGATCCACTCATGTATGATGTTTGCTAATGTCATGAGTGTTGATCAAGACTTACCATTTGTAAATATTCAATTCTGCGTGTGAATGTGGAATGTGCGTTTGTGGATCAGTGACCATGTGCATTTAATTTTAAAACCTACATCACACTATTTCCAGTTATGCACACACAGGTCTCAGATATTCACGCATAGAAAGGCCAGCCCTCCTCCATTCATGAGGAAAAAGTTATGCTGTCTCCATTGAATTAAAATGAGCCATCTTCCATTTCTCGTTTAAAAAACTGCAAATTGAAAAAGGGAAAAACCTTCTGTTCTGTGTTTACTTAAAACATGTCAGGAAACAAAAGGCAGACCTGAATTTACAAATGATAAGTCATGCTCACAAAACATTAACATTTGTGTAAATCACGCATTTATTTGTGGATCAGAAAAACATGTAAAAAGTGTGCATGTTTGTGGATTTCTAAAATGAATTTAAATATATTTTTGAAAATGAGCCGGCATGGTGGACAACTGGTTAGCCTGTCTGCCTCACAGTGCAAAGGTGCAGGGTCGCTCTGCCTTTTTTTCTGTGTGTGTGTGTGTGTGTGTGTGTGTGTGTGTGTGTGTGTGTGTGTGTGTGTGTGTGTGTGTGTGTGTGTGGAGTTTGCCTGTTCGCCGCGTGCCTTCATGGGTTTTCTCCGGATACTCCGGTTTTCTCCCACATTCCTAAAACATGCATGGCAGGTTGATTGGGCACTACAAATTGTCCCAATGTGTGATCATGAGTGTGAATGGTTGTTTGTCTTTGTGTGCCCTGCGATTGGCTGGCAACCAGTTCAAGGTATACCCAGTTTACTGCCTGATGACAGCTGGGATAGGCTCCAGCACACCCGCAACCCTTGTGAGGATAAGCGGAATTGATAATAAGTCTGAGACAAATCTCCCATGGTCTATCAAAGTCTGACAAACTGGACAGTTTTCCAACATGTAATGCAATTGCAATTGCAATTGCAAAAACTAAGAGTGCAATTCCTCTTGTGATCAGCAGAGAGCAGCTTGTCCTCTACACCAGGGGTCCCCAACCGCCGGTCTC